CATTTGTCGGTGCGTGTGGTGGCGCTGGAGTGTTCGTCGTTGATTGCGGACGCGTGTGTGTTATGCTCTAGCCTGTAGTGGGGTGCTCTATAGCGAGTACAACCCTTCTAGGGTTTGCTATTTGTATCCTCATTCTTGCTAGTGCAATCTCCCTTTTGCCTAAACTGTTCTTGCCTAGCTAGGGCTTTCCTAGCTATGGCTCCTAAGACTTCTACTCACTTACACATGGAATCAGAGCGATATGCTCCTGGCTTGTGGGCCCCACTTTACTGCTTCCACTGCTACTGCTACTCCCTGTCCGCCGCGCGCCCCGTGGTGCGCGGCGTCAAGTTTAGGGTTTTCATCCCGCCGCGCGGTCGGAGCGTGCGGCGGTTTTCTGCCCGCCGTGTTCCCCGAGGCGCGCGGCGGTTTTCTGCCCGCCGTGCGCCCCGAGGTGCGCGGCGGTTCTCTGCCCGCCGTGCTCCCCGAGGCGCGCGGCGGGTTTCTACCCCGTCACGCCGCGCGTCGCTCTCGGGAGGCACTGCGACGGGCGACGGGGACCCGCGCGTCGCCCCCCGTCGCCCGTCGTGGCCTGCGCGCGGCCCGTACGGGCTGCGCCAGGCCCGCGCGCGGCCCGTACTGGTTGCGCCAGGCCCGCGCGCGGCTCGGGCCGCCTGCGCGCGGTTCGGGAGGCTGTCCCAGGCCCGTGGGCGGCCCGTTCCTCGCTGCCCCTGCCCTCCCCGCTGTCCCCCGTGCTTCTTATGGCGCCCCACCCCTCCTACTGCCCGTTCTCCTGAATTAGGGTTTGGGGGTGAGAGGTCTGGGGGTGCAGCTTCTGTGTGCCGTTCCCTGCTCCTCCTCCTCCTCCGTCTCCCAGTGCTGCAGCTGCCGCTGAGGGGGGGTGGACCTGTTGGAGCCGTTGGAGTGGTACTAAGGGGGGGTGAAGCGGGAGTGGAGCTAGGGGTGTAGCAGCGGGTGTGTGTCAGGGGGGGTGGGACTGTTTGGGGAAGCTGAACGGAGATTGCCGTCGTGTCGCCAGCAGCACCTGTAGGCCGGGGAGTTGCTCCGGTAGCCCAGTTGCAGCCACCTGTGCGAGTCGCCCGTGGGTCCGTTGCTCGTCTGCCGCTACTTTAGCCGCGGGGCCAGTTACTCTAGTAGTCCGGAGCGTTGTTCCGGTAGCCGCTGTGCCAGTGTGCCTCCTGTTGCCCGTGTGTTTGCAGTTTGCTATTTGTATCCTCATTCTTGCTAGTGCATCCCCCTCTTTGCCTAAACTGTTCTTGCCTAGCTAGGGCTTTCCTAGCTATGGCTCCTAAGACTACTACTCACTTTCACAGCGCGGAGTCACGTTCCGCCATGAGCGTCGCAATTTCGAGCGCCGAATCTTCGAGTTGGCGCACCAGACGGTCGAGCTGCTCCTGCGTCAATGTGGCGAGCGTGAATTCGGCCATGGCGGAGGTGTCGGGCGAGCTCAGCGAGAGCCTCATTCGTGGCCGTGCGTGCTTACGTGAGAACACTACGAGCGGCAGTGCTGTGTCGCTGAGAGACGTCTACCCCCCCCAAAATTTGAGATAATTGGGAATCAAAGGTGTGGGTGCGGTCCGAGAAGAGATCGTAGGCTCTGAATACCAAGTGTTACGAGTGCAATTGAGTGAACGAACGAGAATTGCACTATCGAAACAAGAGTACAATGAGCGAAGGCATGAGCGAAGAATATATAGCGAAACTACAGTGGTAATGGTAATGGACTGTGGTTGTTGCGTGACGGGCCTGTGACTGAGGTTGGGAAAAGTGTCAAAGCGGAGGCCCGGAGCGCGGGTTACTCGCCGAGCCGTGAGGTCGGGGTGCGACGTGCGAAGATGGCGGGCAGATTGTCGATGCGAGGGTTGCGAGTGGTAACGGTGCTGATTGTGGTGCTACATTGATGTACGCGTTGAGCAGAGATGCGAAGTAAGGAAAAGATTTTTTCCTTACAATTATCCACTCCGTTGGATTGAGGGCGTGCTGAAATTTATTTTTGGTATAAGTTTGTGTTTTAATATCAAATGTTGCAGTTGAACGTGAGGTGAACAAAGTTCGACTTTTGTTGATGGCAAGTTCGATCCGTGCGTATCGCAAATGGTTGAAGCACAACCACACACCCAAGTTCGATTTTGCACGTTCGACCTTATAGAGGGTGAGCCGAGCCGTCCATAGGTTATTTAGGTTAGCTGTTTTCGTCTAGCTCTGCGAGACGAACTGTTTACCTGGTTTCAGTGGTGCGTTCATTGGTGAACGAACAAATCGCACAATTCGTCAACTTCTCTTGCGTGCACAAATTAACACATGTTCGGTTCATCGTGCACTCTCACAATCGTGCGTAGATTCGAGCCTTGTTCACTTTTTGTTGGTCCATTTGTGTGTTTCCGATTTAAAGTGCATCTCGCCAGCCGAATTGGCGACATGAGCGAAAGCGGTAACCAGCTAATTTTAGACCTGAGTTACGAACCTAAAACAATTTCTTACACGCCCTCAGGGAACATACAACCGCGTTGATATTGCGACCATCGCCCATGGGCTCGCCAGTGCACGCCCTGAGGCGTGGCACGTGCCAAGGCGGAGAGAGGCACCGCCCTGGGGGTTGCCGCCGAGATGATGCAGCAGACCAGGTTGCCGAGTCCATGGAATCTTTGGAACCCGGTGCGCCGCCTCGTGCCGTGCCGTGCCGTGCCGTGCCGGGTCGGCGTTCTGCAACATCGTGTTGTGGGAAGCTTGGCTGAGAAAAGAGCTGCCATCGACTCGTCTGGTGCTGCAGCTAAGGCCTTCCGCCCCCACTCACACACACTGCACCGCACACACCCAATTCCCACAACACCGCCGGAATTTATTCGCGAATGCGAGGGTGGGATTTCATTGGTCGCGACAGTGTTTGCGACTGCACGAAGAAAGTAAACAGCGCGGTTTGGTTTTGTAACTGACCCCTCCCCGTGCTGCGGGAATGGGGCCCTTGAGAATACATGCGCGCCCATAGATTCTCCTGTAGGGACCTGAAGAGTTGGCTTCAGGAGCGGACGAGGGGAGATTAGGAGGCAGAGTCAGATCGGGACTACTTGCTGGGAGCGCCTGGCAAGTCGAACTGGCGCATTGACGCTTCCTTACATCATAGTTCGATGCTGTATCGCGCCGCTCCCAGGCAGCATCTCTCTTGATTCAAGACCAGCCTAGTTGACGGGTTCTGAGAAAGCAGGACTTTCCCAACGTTGACGGACTCTTGGTAAACAGAGAGAGAGAATAACCAGGTGTGCTTCTACTGGATCAAGCTTGAGTGTCGCACTAACGGACTCGCTGCAAAGAATCTGGACTGACTCTCCTCTCCTCGCCTCTCCTCTCCTCTCGCGTATCTCCGCTCCCAACTGCTTCCCTTCCGTTTCACGCCGGTCTCCACCGCTCGTTACACTGCTCTTTTGCTCCTTTGTGTGGACTCACGACGCACACCTACCTGTACGCGACTTCTCGCGTCGCACATGTTCGTCCAGCTATTTTCTTTCTCCTCGCCGCATTTGCGGACTCCAATTGATTAAAATCCGGTTTTAGAGTCGACTCAAAGATCCGGTTTTAGAGTCGACTCAAAGATTCAGCGATTCTCGCAGAATGGTTGGGAGTATGTTTGTCGAGTCGGCACGTGGCGCGCAGCTGGAGGTGCTGCGACAGGCGACGGTCTGGGAGCGCATCTCCGTCGCGACGACGCTCGCGATAACGTTCGCGAAAGCGATGGTCGGGATGTTCGGTTACGCGCCGTACGGGTTCCATGCTATGGCGATGTATAGGAGCGTGTTTTACGCCAGTCAGCGCGGCTTGGAAGGTCCGCAGAGCATTGGCGGAAGCGGAAGCGGAGGGGGGAAACTGGACGCGGCGGAGGGGGAGATCACTCGCGGTGAAGTGGGGGACGCGGAAAGCTCGTCCGCGGATCGTCGGTCGGCAATTGGGATCCGGAAGATGCGAAGGCAGCTGACGTCGACAGGTAGAACCGGGGGGGATGAATGGAGGAGGAATGGGGAAGGAATGGAGGATGGAAGTGAGGCGGAATGGGGGCAAGGAGCAGGAACTAAGGAACTACTAGAGACAGAGGGGAGAGGTGGGAGGGAAAGGGAGGAGTGTGCAGGGAGGAAGGGAAACTGGGACATGACAGTGCAAAGCAAGTGAGATGCTGCTCGGATGCTATTGACGAACTTTCTCCTTCCCCCCGTGATACGCCGTAACAGCAAAATTACCGGCGGTAATCGAAAGAACATTATGTTTACCTCTCCTTTTCCTCTCCCTTTTTTCCTCCCCCGGTGCCTCTTGCTTTCCCCTCGCTGCCCAATTTTCTCCTTGATTTGCTCGGCATGGTGTGACCTGGCCATGGCATGGCGTGGGGGCTGACGTGGCATGACGTGGTTTTTCAGTGTGGAATTGGGCGTCGTCGATGGAGGCGATGCTGTGGCAGGGTCTGCCACATGGCGGCGTGCGAGTGGTCCACGATATCCGCTACGGCCCTCGACCGCGCAACACGTATGCGCGGGACGGGACGGGATGACATGGCATGGGACGGGATGACATGGCATGGGACGGGATGGCATGGCATGGGACGGGATGGCGTGTCATGGGACGAGATGACGTGGCATGGGACGGGATGGCTTGGCTTGGAACGGGATGACACGAGAAGCTCGCTGGCTCAGAGCGATGGGGATGGGGATGGGGATGGGGATGAGATGAGATATTAGTTGGAGGCAATGTGGTAACATGTGATGGCACATCATGATGGCATTTGATGGCATATGAGAGCATGGGAACGCATGGGCGGATTCTAATATAATGATGGGATGACATGGCAGGGATTACTGCGTGAATCCGATTCTCCATACATCCATCTTAGGGTTTTCCCAATGCCTGATATTCTGTTGTGTGAGACGTCACTTAGATGGCGCCCCTCTGTGCCTTGCTTTCTTCCCTTGCCCACCACAGCCTTGACATCTACATGCCACCAGATCTGCCACCTGACAACAATGCATCCTTGTTTGCTTCTCACTTGTGTTCTGCCCTTGACCCCCTGTGCCTTTCCTCCTGCCCTTGCCCCCTGTGCCTTTCCTCCTGCCCTTGCCCCCTGTGCCTTTCCTCCTGCCCTTGCCCCCTGTGCCTTTCCTCCTGCCCTTGCCCCCTGTGCCTTTCCTCCTGCCCTTGCCCCCTGTGCCTTTCCTCCTGCCCTTGCCCCCTGTGCCTTTCCTCCTGCCCTTGCCCCCTGTGCCTTTCCTCCTGCCCTTGCCGCCTGTGCCTTTCCTCCTGCCCTTGCCCCCTGTGCCTTTCCTCCTGCCCTTGCCGCCTGTGCCTTTCCTCCTGCCCTTGCCCCCTGCAGTCTTGACATCTACATGCCACCAGATCTGACACTTGACAGCAATGCAGCAGAAAGCAGCAGCAGCAGCAGCAGCAGCAGCAGCAGCAGCAGCAGCAGCAGCAGCAGCAGCAGCAGCAGCAGCAGCAGCAGCAGCAGCAGCAGCAGCAGCAGCAGTACCGAAGGAAGCAAGGGGCGGCCAGTGTTGTTTTTTGTGCACGGGGGAGTGTGGGCGAGTGGCGAGAAGTGGATGTATTCTCCTCTCGCAATCCGATTCGCTCAGTCAGGGGCGGTGGTGGTTACCATTCAGTACACTCTCTACCCAGAGGTAAGTCACATGTACACCCTCCCTTCGCCCCCCTCCCGTCCCACCTCCCACCTCCGTATCCCCCTCATCCTCATAATTCAGCTCATGTGTTCCAACTGCTGCTGAGAATAATGGCACAGGGGAGCACATGAGCTGCTCCCGTGTCGTCTTCCCCGTCTTCGCTTCTCAGTCTCTCCTCCCGCTCTCGCGTCCTCTCCAACTCCCGTCCTCCTCTCTCTCCCCCACTTCCAGGCCCATGGCGTCGACCAGGCTCAAGAAACGCCAGCCGCACTCCCATGGGCCATGGACCACATTCACGAGTATGGGGGCGACCCCTCACGCATTGTCAACCCCCCATCTCTCATACACGCCCCCACCTCTTCTCCTCACTTCGCCCTGCTACTGCCCTCCAGGTCCTTGCCATCCACCAAGTACACGAAACGTCCAGGACGATCTCATGGCCATACACGCCATGTCCCTCCCCACCACTTCTTCTCCGCTCTTCGCCCTACTTACTGAAAGGTTATTGCCATCCACCAAGTGTCTTCCTCCCCCATCCTACCTTCTCCATTCATCCCACCTCCTCACCGACAGGTCATTGCCATCCACCAAGTACACGAAACGTCCAGGGCGCTCTCATGGGCCATACACGCCATGCCACCTCCCTCCCCACCACTTCTTCTCTGCTCTTCGCCCTACTGACCAACAGGTCATTGCCATCCACCAAGTACACGAAACGTCCAGGGCGCTCTCATGGGCAATGGACCACATTCACGAGTATGGGGGCGACCCCTCGCGCATCTTCCTCACAGGCCACTCCTCAGGCGCCCACGTCTGCTCCATGGTTGTGTGGCGCCGCCTCAGGTCTGCCCTCCGCCGCATGTTCCAGGCGCATGGCAAGGATGTAGCATCGTCAGCAGCAGCACCAACGGCTGTAGCAGAGGCTGACAGCAGCAGTGTCAGCAGCAGCGCCAGCAGGGAGGGAGAATCGCCACAGCCCGCCGTCAAGGGACACTCTCTCAAGGGAGAGGACAAGGGAGAGGACAAGGGAGAGGACAAGGGAGAGGAGCTGAAGGGAGAGGAGCTGAAGGGAGAGGAGCTGAAGGGAGAGGACCTCTGGTCTCCAGGCGAACCTTTGAGGCGCGTCAAAAGTGACCTCTGGTCTATAGGCGAGCCTTTGAGGCCTCTCACGGGAGAGGACCTCTGGTCTATAGGCGAATCTGATCTGAGGCAGCCCTACTGTTTCCTGGGAATGAGCGGTGTGTACGATATAGCCCACCACCAGCGGTACGAGCAGAACCGGGGCGTGGTCGCTCTCTCTCTCATGACGCCTGCTATCGGCGGGCCGGCACGGTTCGTCTCATCCTCGCCTGCTCTGCTGTTTGATGCTCTCGCGTCCGCCGCGGATGATGCTGCCGCCGCTGCTGCTGAGGCTGTAGCTGCAGGTGCTATTGGTGGTGCTATTGGTGGTGCTGTTGGTGATGCTGCTGGTGATGCCTCTGCTGCTGCTGCTGCATTGTTCGGCGCGTCGTTTGACTGCCCGAAGAGTCCTTTCTTGTCTGCCACTGCTGCTCCTACTGCTGCTGCTTCTGCCCCGTCCGCCCCTTCCACCTCTGCTCCTTTCATTCCTGTGACTCCCTCTGCCTCTGCCTCTGCCTCTGCCTCTGCCTCTGCCTCTGCTGTTGCTAGAAGCAGGGCACTCGAGCAGCTGGCAGCAGCCAGCGCTGCTGCTGCTGCCTCCCTCAGGCCCTCCCTCTCTGCCGCCCTCAAATCCGCGTCACCCCGCTCATTTGCCACGTCAGCTGGTCCCAACGCCACGTCAGAGGGTCCAAACGCCTCGTCATCGGAGGGTCCAGTGAAATTATTAGGTAACTCTGATGAAGGAATCACCAACCGCCAACCAGCTGCTGCCAAGTCCTCATCAGTATCGTCCTTGTCAGTAGGAGGAGCAAGAGCAGCAGGAGCAGCAGGTGTAAGGAGTGAACAGGCAGCAAGAGCAGCAAGAGTAGCAGGAGCAACAGGTGTAAGGAGTGAAATGGGAGGTGAAAGTGATGCTGGTATGCATGTGACCAGTACAGAAAGGGGAAGCGCAATCTCAGGAGGAGGAAATCCCACCTCTGTTGCAGATGCAGTCAACAGAGCGACATCAAAAGAAGCAGCGAAGCAGGCCCTTCGATCCCACCTCCTCAACTCGTCACCTTTCAAGCAACGGGTAGGTGCCGCACCAACTGATGCCACACCAACTGATGCCACACCAGCTTCCACCATGCCACCTCCAACGCCATCCTTGCCTGCTTCTTCGCCTCTCCAACCAGCCCAAGAGTTCACCGTCCCTCCGCCCTTCTCCGTCTCCTCCTCTTACACAGCAGCAGCAGCAGCAGCAGCAGCAGCGGTGGCAGCAGCTCCCACAGGCACACCTTCAGAAAACGCCTCGTCTCCTTCTTCCGATCAAGAAGCATCCTCCTCTCAAGAGGCAGACCCCCTCTCCTCTGATTGCTTCTCCTCCAGGTTCCTCGCCCCGTCGCCGCCCCCTCCTCTCGACATTCTCAGGCAGGAGCTGGGAGGGGGTGTTGCTGAAGCTGTTGTGGCTGCTCTTGCTTCAGGACAGCTGAGCCTGCTCTCCTCACCCCCATCCTCCTCTCCCTCTCCGTCCTCCTCTTCCTCCTTCTCCTCCTCGTCTTCCTCCTCCTTTCCTCCCTCTTCAACCCCCCCCTCCTCTGCTTCTCCATTTCCCTCTTCTCCCTCCCCTCCCTCCTCCACGCTTCTCCTCCCCATCATCCTCCTTCAGTGCAGTACTGCCGACTCTATAGTCCCCACCGAAACATCTCTCTTTCTCATCCGCTCGCTTCACCACCTCAACTCCTTCCTTCTCCCCTCGCCTCCTCCCAACCAGCTCAAGTTTGGGGGAGAGGGGGGCAGATCGGTGGATGAAAAAACTGACAGGAGGGGAACAGGGGAGGGAGCAGGAGGAGCAGGAGTAGGAGAAGGGGGAGTGGGGATTCGTGCAAAGGCTTTGGTTTATGATGACGTTGGTCATTCGGCTTTTGCGTGCTGGGCCGTGAGAGGCAAGAGGAGAGGGAGAAGGGACGGAGAGGGGGGTGGAGGAGGGGGGGTTGTGAAGGGTGGAGTGCGGGATGGGGTGAGCGATGGGGAGGTGGGGGGGGGAGGGAAGGAGGAGGAAGGGGAGTGGAAGGGAGGGATGTTAATGAGAAGCAAGAGCACGAGGAAACTGAGTCAACTGAGTCAACAGAGTCAACGAGAGGGAGGAGATGGCGGGGCAGAGACCGCGGATGGGGAGGAGAGGGAGGAAGTGGCGGGGCAGGTGTTATCCAGTGGAGGTGCATCTGATGAGATGGTTTGTGTGAGAGATTGCCTTGATATTGTCACTGGGCGAGTGTCGCTGGAAGATATAATGTGGCAGTGGCGTGGGGATGAAAGCATGATGAGACCTCGAATCAAAGCACTCTGAGCTGGTTTATTCATACTGTTTTTCTTGCTGTTTTGCATACAGTGAACGCTGTGGGTCTGAACTTGGTTTGAATCAGTGTTCCAACTCAGGACACACCCGTATCGATCTGCTAGTAGTGTATGTTGGATACCGTTATATTCATTTGAGGTCTATGTGTATATCTACTGCGACCATGAAATACGGTAGCTGGCGATGTTGATTGTTTCCATTCAGTAACAAAGGCCACTGTTGATGATGTATTGTGCCAATATCTTGGCCCCCGTGGAAATGATTTGACCAAATTTGAAGTTCCACATTTACTTAGTTTTATAAGCCCTCCTCCACTCCCACCCCTGCTGGCCCTCCTGCTGCTGCTTAGGGTGGAGGCTTAGCGCAGTGAGGGTTGCCAGGGAAGGGGCGGTATTGGAAGCCAGCGGAGAAGGAGCAGCGGCTGCTGAAGAAAGGGCAGCAGAGATCGCAGAGGCGGCAAATGGGGCGGCGGCCGCCGCACCAGATGGGGTTGCAGCTGAAGCTACAGGTGGAGCTGTGGCACGACTAGGGATTTTTTTCAGAATTCTAAAAAGATCTAAGCTACAGGTGGGGCTGTGGCACGACCAGCAGGGGCGGTAGAAGCCAGAGCTGGGGTAGTAGAGGCCACAACTGGGGCAGAAGAGGCCCTAATAGGGGCGGCAGAGACCGCAGATGGAGCGGCATGGGCCGCAGGAGAGGCTGGCAGCAAAGAGCCAACATGGGGTGCGGGCGCAGCGGGCATGGGGGCGTCAGGGGTGGGAGAGAGGGGGAGGCCCTCCTCGAGAGGGCAGGGCATTCAGAGAGTGCACACATCCGCGCCCCGCACCTTTTAACCCAATTCCCCCCCAGAAGCTCCTACCCTTTGCCCCCACCCTCGCAGGCACTCTCGTGCGTTAGGTGGGGCAGCCAAGGCGTGGGCTTTCGTAGAGAAAACCTGCTCTCCAACTAATAACTCCCAGCCACCGCTGCCTCTTCCTCCGCCAGGGTCGCCCTCACCCGGCAAATGTACACATGTTTGAGGCGCTTGGTGCAGTCACATCAACCCCCGCACCAACCCTCCCCAACCCCCCCCCCTCCCCCCCCCCCCCGTCCAGCACGCTACGCAATTCCACAGCGGAGAGTACTGGCACCCCATCCCACCGCTAGGGACTCCCCCTCCTTTCCCCTTTCCCTGACTGGTGGGATCCACCTACAAGGGCCACTGCTCTTGGTACAGGAAGGCAAGAGCGACCTGGCCGAGGAGGTCACGGAAGAGGTGATGGGTGGGAGGGACTCAAATAGCAGTGCACATCACGAGGGCACGCGACATGACCGGCCCCTCCGCTCCCATCCCCAACCCTTATCATCATCACCACCTTCACCACCATCACCCTCTCAGCCCCAAGCATCACGTGCTAACCACCACTCTCCTCCAGCCCATCGCCCCCCACTTGCACCCCTTGTGACCCACCCACCTTGCCACAACCAGCAACGCTCGGCGGCCACTTTGACACCAGCTCCCGCCACCTCGGGAGGTCCCACGAGCGGAGGGAGGTGTCATGCTGCGTCATCACGCTGTGCCAACATTCCCCTCCTTCCATCCCCTCCCCCGGCCCCCCTCCCCCCACAACCAGCCACGGCTCCCCAAGCCAATGCAGGTTGACGACGGAAGGGTAGAGGCAACGGCGGTGGATGCTTAACTTCCACACTCCACCTCCATCTTCTGCCCCAACAGCAGCTATTCTCTCCACCCCCTCTACCCAACCTGCTTCAGCCCCCCCTCACATGGGTCCATCACCTATCCTTCTCTCCCCTTTGCATGCACACGAGGGAGGTCCTACTGGCACGGCTCTTCCCCACCAACACCTAGTTGCCCCTCGGGATGGCGACCTCCGCACTAGGATGGAGGTTGCCAGAGTTGGGGATGATACAATGGTAGAAGAGGTTGCGCTCATCTCCCATGCCCCGCCTCCCACCACTGCAGGCAGCCCCACCCCGCCCCCGACAGCTCAACTGAGACGGCAGGAGGGTGAGCTAAGGCCATTGCCACATCCACCCGCATCCCAACCACATGGCCAGGCAAGGCGTGCCTCATCTTTCGCTGAACCAGCTCATCCTTCCTCCCTTACAGACGGGGAGGCGTTGGAGTCCACATCGGGTTTGGGAGCGACTGTATACGGCTTGCTGGCAATACATCACACTTGCATACCCCTCTCAGTTCCCACCCCTCTAGCCCCACAGGTACGTGCCCTTGCAGCCCCCCCCTCAAGGACCTCTCTCTTGCGGGCCCCATCCAACTCGACCCCTTCTGCCTATCTCCGATGGAGACCGTGGGCTCCACATATAGACGTAGGTGCACCAATCCGGCCTGCCTCACTCTATTCATCCCCATCAATAGCCCCACCTATCACTCCAAGTACAGCAACAAGAGCTGGGCATGAGGCACCTGGCAGTCCTCACTTGGGCATCCTAGAGGTGCCATCAGGACACCATCCCATTCAGGGAGGGCTCGGACTACCTCCACGAACCCCCTGCACAGACCCCAACCTCATGTGTAGGACTGTCACCGAGTCGATGCCCAGCTCCACCACTCACCCGCGCCATTTTGGGGATGCCCCATCTCCCCCTACCCTCGACGTTCCGGCGGGTGTCTTGCTAACTAGCGAGGCTGCCTTTGTAAATAATTCTGATAGCACAACTACGGCCGACCCCACGGACACAGAGACGTTTCTCGATGAGGTCGTAAGGTGCCCCTTATATGCTTGAGCTCCCTCGCGAACCGCCGAGCACTCCGACACAACACGCCATTCTGCCACCCTGCCGACGTAGTCCGCAGAGCGCAAGCTGTGCGCAACAGGGCCTCAGCTCTACCTTCCCTTGCAGAGCCCCAAGCCGCAGGGATGCAGTTCACAGATGCACATTGGTATACGCTTGACTCGGTGCGTTGGTCGGAGTGTTTTGATCCGGAGCGCACCCACACCCACTGTGGTGTATATCTTGACATTCTGATTGCCATCTTAGCGCGGATCTCTCAGGACCCAGATGGCGACGGCACCGACGCTCCTATTCGCTCCAGCAACACCATCGGAGTGTTCACACATGGCCGCCATCGCAGCGTGCATCACCCGCTTTAGTCGAGGTGAGTGGGAGGAGCTCATCTCGGAGGCCCTGAATCGACGTACACCCCTTCCTCGACGGGCATCATGATATGGACACATAACCATTTTCCCCCCCACGGCGGATGAGCGTCACATTGCTCGTTGCCAGTGTCTTGCGGCTTGCAACGAGACGTTGTGGGCCTGTGTGTCCTTGGAGTCGGCAAAAGCAGCCTCTGATACAGAGAGTACGATGCATTAACTGCGGAGCATGCATTCCGCCGTGGAGTAACCGACCTTAGATTGGCTATCAACTTTCCAGAAAACTGCCCTCGTGCTCTCTGTAGACAACCTCCGATGCGCCATCTTCACGGCCCCACGCGGGTCGCCCCGAGGATCGACAGGCTGGGTTGCCGAGCATCTCTAGGATACTTTCTTGCTTTTCCTCAGAGCCTTCCTAACTTGCTCGCCATTTACCAGCATTGGCTACAAGGCTACTGCGCCCCGACAGCTCGATCGCTATTGGCATCAACCACCCTGGTCGCTCTCGCAAAAGCAAACCTGGATGTGCATCCTATCGCGATAGGTGAGGCTTTGATCTACATCCTTTTCCTAACGGTCTGCCTGTAGTTGCGGGACCAGATGACGAGGGCGTTACCTACAGGACCAAGGTCATGGTTAGAAGTGTTCGTCTTGCTTTGGTTGACCACCCTAACTGGGTCGCTCTTCAGCTGGACTTGGCGAACGCCTTTAACCCGTTTCATCAAGACGCCATATTCCAGGCCCTCTACACCATCCCTGAGTTTTGCTACCTCATACCTTCCATCCGCATTTTCTACGTGTCACTCTCTAACCTCCACTACCGGGCAGGTACAGGAGTGGCCACCATACATTCGGAGCGCGGCACCCTCCAGGGTGACTCGCGCAGCTCGTTTCTATATGCACTAGCGCAGGGCTCTTAAGCCAGCACCAGATGAGGGCAACGTCCAGCTTTGGTCATACGCAGATGACACCTATGTGCTGGGCCCTCCCTCTAGAGTGCTACACCACTTCACGGGGATCATGGGACACTTGAGCAAGCTGGGCCTTGCAGTCCACCCGCACAAGTGTCTTGTTTACCAACAAGATTTTGCCACCTTCGGGGAGGTGGAAACTTTTTCGAGTTTGAGGATTGAGGTTGCTCGTAGAGGACTCACCGTCTTCGGAGTGCCGGTGGGCTCTGCCGCGTTGGTAGAGAGGAGACTACCTAAGTGTCCGGAGAGGATGGGGCTAGTGTTTCCATGGCTTCTGAGACTACGCCAACTCCATTCAGCGGCCTGCCTACTCTCAGCATGTGTCAGCACGCAACCACATTACGTGCCAGAGAAGGTCCCACCGACACCAGCGGTACGTGCCAGCTTTGCACAGTGGGATGCGTGGTTGAGAGATACCTTTCAGCAGCTCCTAGTGCCAGGGGCTTGGGCTTGTAGAAATGACGTTCACGATGCAGCCCTGGACCAGATTTTCCTGCCCATACGCGTAGGGAGTTTTGGCATTCGTCACATGGAGCGTATTTCCCCTATGAATTTTGCATGCTCTTGGGTACGGTGCTCCGTCACCCATTCTTTGCTCCCTTCCTATGTGTGGCAAGAATTTCCGTAGAGCTTCGCATCGGATGATGTTGACCAGATCGACCGATCTGTGCGGACGGTGCTAGAGGGCCTCCCTCGCGGCATTGAAGTTCGAGCTTATAGAGCAGGGCACAATTCGCACACAGATTTAGTAGGCTACCCGCATGGGTGGCACGTGCCCTCTGGTTTCCACGTGGCGGTTGGCGACGCCTACAATCTGACGATGGCTTTGCTAGTACGCACACTGAAGTTTATCATTTTCGGTGGCAGCTTTATCGAAGGGGTACAAGGTGCACACGTTTGGAAAAAAGTGCTCACTAACAGTTTAAATGCGAGCTCAACCCTGTTCAGTGTTCATATTAGTTCCCTGATTGGACGTAGCATTGACGAATTTCACGATTCCAATTTCCCGAAATTTGCGAAGTAGGTTACTAGCCAAAGCTCGAGCATTTTTTAGAACTCAGCCATCAAGGATACGCGCCCTTAGCGGCTGTGCTTGAAACGATGTGCCCTGCGTTGTGGTGAGGGCTGCTCTTGTGCTTGGTCCTTCTATGTTTTACGTAGATGATGTTCTCCTCTTTCCACCTTCCTCTTTCCCTTCCCTTTTCTTATCACCTGTTACGAGTGCAATTGAGTGAGCGAGCGAGAATTGCACTATCGAAGCAAGAGTTCAATGAGCGAAGGCATGAGCGAAGAATATATAGCGAAACTACAGTGGTAATGGTAATGAACTGTGGTTGTCGCGCGACGAGCCTGGGACTGAGGTTTGGGGAATTGTCAAAGCAGAGGCCCGGAGCGCGGGTTACCCGCCGAGCCGTGAGGTCGGGGTGCGACGTGCGAAGGTGGCGGGAGGATTTGTCGATGCGATGGTTGCGAGTGGTAACGGTGCTGACTGTGGTGCTACAGTGGTGTACGCGCTGAGCAGGGACGCGACGTAAGGAAAAGGAATTTTCCTTACACTACCCCCCCCCCCCCCCCCCTAAGGAGGTCCTCCTTACGAAAGCACGTGTACATCCCTGAAGTTTCGGCTGCGCAGATACTCAGTGAAGACGTGGTTGTTTTTGATTCTGTCCAGTGGAACCCAGTTGTCTTCGGTGGGTGTATGGTCTTTCCAGCGGATCAGGAACTCGATCCTTCGGGATCCTCGAG